AGAGAGAGAGAGAGAGAGAGAGAGAGATTCTATCTTTATTGATGGTAGTATTAGTGAGGCAACACAAGTCCTCCCACCAGTCTCTAAAGAAAATGTTGTCAGCCTGCAGCTTGTGCCACCAAATGCTTGCTAGTTTCCACACATTCTTTGCTCTTGGGCACATGAACAGCAAATGCTCAAAATTTTCCTCATATTCCCCACACCAACAGCATAACACATCATCTAAGGCTCCTCTTCTTTTCAGATTAGAATTTGTACCTAACCAGTCATGCCAACACTTTCAAAAAGAATTTTTTACCTTTGGTTTAATAGACAGGTACTATATTTTCATTTTCCTTCAAATGTTTTTCAAGGTGAGCTCTCTGCCACTGCTTGTCCCCACTCCTCCTGCAACAACTTTATTCTTGTCTCTAATTGCTTTGTAGGCTTCTTTGACTGAGAAAAGGCCCTTCTTGTGTGGTTCCCAAATCAACTTGTTTGGATGCCCCCTTTGGCTAATATGAAGTTGCAGAATTTGGGAGGCAACATAAGGGCTGAATGTCTGCATAACCAGCTCAGTATCCCATGATAATCCATCAACTGCAAAAAGGTCTGAAAGATTTTTAATCTGCAACAAATCACCTGCAAAAGTGCTTTCTGGGATAAAATGTGGAATGTTAGGAACCCAAAGAAGTTTTCACACATCTATTGTGTTCTCATTGCCCACCTAAAATCTTAATCCCATCCTAAGAGAAAGTCTAGCATCTAGCCAACATTTCCACGTCCAGGAATCAGAACTCCTTTTAGGGATGTTCAAGTAATTTTGCTGAAAAAAATATCTACCTCTGAGGACCTGAGACTGAGCAGTAAGTATTCAAGATGTGAAGAAGCGTTTGGGCATGAGACCGCCTCCAACCGAGACGGAAAACCCAAAATTTGCAGTGAGAATTCCTCCAACCGAGCTGCAAATCGGATCGCAAAATGCGATCTTCCTCTTCTCTCTCTTCGTTTGGACGCAATTTTGCGTCTGACGCAAAAATTTGCGTCTGAATTTTTTTTTTCATTTCAGTCCTTTTTTTTGTCTCTTTTCATCTTCTTTATTTTTATTTCATTTTAGTCCTTTTATTTAAATTATTAGATAATATGATAATTACATTAATGAATATTATTTATATATTTATTTAAAATAATAATAATAATGTAAAATAATAATTAGTATAATATTTAAAATAATAAATGTTATATCTATCATTTAATTTGCACTAATATAATGAAAAAAAGTAACAGTTTTTAAAATGTGAATATATACGCTAGACCATATATGGTCTAGAGTGTAAATTTGCACTAAATGTTATATCTATCATTTAATTTGCACTAATACAATGAAAAAAAGTAACAGTTTTTTAAAATATGAATATATGCGTCTAGAGTGTAAATTTGCACTAAATGTTATATCTATCATTTTAATTTTTCATCTTGTGAATTGTAATTTTTAATTTTATTTGTGTGGTGAAATTTTAATTTTTAATTAATATTTATTTCTCCGATTTTATTATGTATAATTAATTTTAATTACATAAAGTCCAAATTGAATT